CAACAACTCGACCAAAGAGCAGAAAACAGCCCAAGGCCACTAATGGATTTTCAACACAGCGGGATTTACCAGGAGGCGGGCTTCGGCTGGCCCCTAAACAATAATGTGTTCAGCGAAAATGGACGTCACACTAAACTCCGATACATATAAATAAACCAAAAGACTTTATATGACAATTAAGGTGGACATTCACTTAAATCTAATACAAATTATGAAACTACCGTTCAAAGTTATACAAGGGTTATACATTTAGATGTCTAAAATAAAATCATGGTAAAGGTAGTTGCGACAGTGTTGTTGTTAATTATCTCTCCTATGACTTATTGTCCCCGTTATTTCGTAGATTATATCATCTGCATCTAAAATTAGTCTACTGCTTCATCCAGGCATTAAGATATTTGTTCGGTTTAAAGCTGGAAAATTTCAAAGCGAGGTGAATCGTTATAAAATAAGGAGATGTGGCATGATTCCAATGAGACAACTATCCACCAAATGACGTGGATTTAAGCAACTATAGGTCTCTTTAGATGATATTAGAACAAAATTAATAAGAAAAAAAATGCAAATGATGAAGTTCGACTTAAATAGTTAATTTTACAGGGATGGAATGACAAAACTTGATCTATTCATGATTGTTCAATTAAGTTGTAGAGAGTTTGTAATCGTATATACCTGTGGTTTGATACATGTAGTAGTAGCTTGGTTATAGATCTCACCAGCTGGACACTGAACTACAAACATTCGTCCGAAAACATCACATTGGAGGAATTTTGTTTGGTCTCGTGGATGAGGATAGTATACTCTATTATTAGTATTCCTCCTGCATGGGTCAGCTACATTCTGGTATGAATCTGAAATATAACATAGATGGCCAGAATAAATTTGTTTTTAGAAAAAAGTATCACAATTTGTCATATTAAAGACTTCAATGTATAGATATTTATCTTCCATAATATGACATATTTTTATTAGTAGAAAAAAAATGTTCTTCGCGGAATAAAGTTCACTTTAATTGACAAGACTGTCACGCATGTAACTATTTAACATTCATGGTAAGATATTAGTTTGAAAACATGTTGGGTATATAACAACTGTGGCTCAAAAATAAACTTATTTGTCCAGGGTGGAAATACAAGAGCTGTTATTAGGTTATATTAATTTTAAAGTAACATTGAATGGAGCCAGTCATCAAAATATGATCAAAAGTGAACCATATTTAGAATGATTAGAGGAACGTGCTGAATTTTTCAGCTTAACAGAGTAGAACATCTAAGAGCCATAAAATATTAATTCTACTCACCTACACAGTTTGGCAGCACTTGTCTTTTCTCTAAAGTGAAAAATAAAACCCATTTTGTCAGGAGTGCTTTGATATTATGTTTGTCTGTTACATGTTTGTATTTATTACTTACCAGTCCGATGCGTATTAAAAACTTTACCAGGATTGACTTCATATTAATATATTCCAACTTTGCCTAAACAATGTTTATTTAGGCATTCAAATATAAAATTTACCGGGGTCTCTGTCACGGTTTGGTGTATAACATTTTTGAGTTTTACATCTATGTTGTTCGCAAAAACAGTCATCTTTAATGTTAAATGTTCTATCATGTTTCAGTAGTTTGTAAAATTTTGTAAGCATATGTTGCGGCGGGTTTTGGCGACGATATACCATTTTCCATTACTTTTAGTTGCCTCGGATAAAGCAGGGTCGGACACCTAACAGGGTATGATTTTACTACTATTGTTCGTGTGCTCTTTATTAATGGTAATTAATAGAATATATATGTAGGACTCTAAAGTGCGATGGGGACGCTAAAACGCGATGATCACGCTAAAGTGCGATGGCATACGCTAAAGTGCGATGGTCTGATACGCTAAAGTGCGATGGTCTGTGCTATTAAGTGGAACACGCTAAAGTCCGATGGCTCAATACGCTAAAGTGCGTTTTTCCGCGAAAGTGCGTTTGTTCGCGAAAGTATGGACGTTTGCAACAATACTATCATTATGACGTTTAGCCTTTTGTACAAACAAAAAATGGACGTGCCGTTAAACCAGGATTTGTGTCCAGATGAAGGGTTTATACTTGACAAAAAAAGAAAGAAAAGAGAAACTAATGATCCTAATCGGGAACATTTTTGGTCGGTATTGGAAGAGGTAAATTTGATATGCAAAAACAAATTTGATGAAAATAGCTGGGGTGCTAAAAAAATAAAGGAGGAACTAAACTTACGAATGGGAGATACAAGTGTTAGAAAGTATTTGGCCAACTTTCTGTATGATGACCATACTTGTTCATTGTACCACAGAAGTACAAAGGTAGGAGACAATCATAGAAGAGTCTTATCTAAAGAAGAAATGATAGTGGAAATTAACAACAATCATAAAATTGATCACCGCAAAAGTGACGCTATTTATGAAACATTAAGGAAATCATATTTTCCCGTAGTTCGTGAAAATACTAGATTACTGTTTAAGCAACATGTAAAATGTTCGCAATGCCTTGCAGCGGTTGATTTACCAAAGACACAAATAACTAGAAAACCAATACCAGCTACCTATTCCAATAGTAGGTGGCAAATGGATTTAAAGAAGATGCCTCCATGTAAAGGATATAATTACATATGTAATATTGTTGACTGCTACAGCCGCTTTGCCTTTGGTGGACATCTTAAGCAGAAGACAGCAAAGGAAGTTTCCGAATTGCTCCTAAAATTTATCTATATATTTGGTCCACCTCTGATTCTCCAGACGGATAACGGGAAAGAATTTAACAATGCAGATCTTTGTGCAGTGATAGATTAGTTTAAAACAACAAAAATTAATGGTCGTCCGTACCATCCTCAATCACAAGGTTAGTTAAAAAAAACTGAATTGTACTATAATATTAAATAATAATTTAGTATCACCTATTCATTACAATAGAAAAAGCAATAGAAATATATATTGCCTTTACATTATGTCCAGGTTTACATCTTTAACAGGCTTTTTTTTTTTTTTTTAACTTTTTTATGAATATTTAAATGGGGACGGGACGCTAAAACGTTATTTTGTAAAAATTTTTATACCTTTAATGTAGACAAACGGTATACCTATAAAATAATAAACTAAACTATTATCTTCAAAATGCTATATTCATTAAATATAGAATTTAAAACAATGTTATAACACTTTTTTACGCCATAATTTCAGGACGCGTGGAAAGATTTAATAGGACAGTTGTTGCATACTTTAGAGCCCAATTTGTTGACACAAGAGATTGGCAGAGTTTACTTGGAGAGTTTTATTACAAATATAACAACAGAGTGAACAAATCTACTAGACCAATGACACCCCATCAAAGATTTTTCAAGAGACCAAACTTTTCAATGGCATTAGAAGAACAGGTAAATTATATAAACTTTTTTAATTATAAATAAGAAAATGAGGTATCATTGCAAATAGGACAATATTCAATTTAAACACAAATCACATATATAAAAACAAAAAAAATAGGTTGCAATACGATGTTTGATAATGATAAAACCCCACACTGAAAAGTACAGTTTAAAAGATCATCTTATAAACACAATTTTATACACGAATCCAACGGTTATATTTAAGAATAAAACATTACACCAAGTTTAAAGTTTGTGTTTATTATAAAATATAAGTAAATAGTTTTATTATTTCTGGTAATTTCTTCAAGTTAACACAGTGAAAAATGATGTTTGCATGTTGAACGTACAGTGCCAAATATTACATGCATATACTGGACAATAACACTCAACCTTTTGTTTATTTATACTTGAATAAATTTTTTTATTGTACTGTTTATGTTTAGGTTGCAAAGTGTAATCTTAACTAAAGAGGAAAAAGAATTTCTAGAGATGGCTCACGTGGATGTAGAGGAAGATGATGACGACAACAATAACTTGACATTAAATGAAAACTTAAAATCAGAGAAAATTAATGGAATTACTGATGCAGAACCCGGGGTTGTTAATCAGGTATTAAAATAGTTGCTTGTTTATATAAAATAAATTAAAAATAATGGAACTTGTAAAACAAAATATTTCACTAAAGTGGGTTGTCAATTGCACACAAGTCGTAAATAAGATTTTAAATATATCTTTTACTTGTTAGCTTATATTGTACCAGTGTATTATAAAGATTTCACATGAAAAATGTCTTTGTAGAAAAATAATGAAGACCAGCAGTCTGAGATGATAGATAATAAATTAACCACTGATTCTGCAACAATTGGTGCATTAAGTACAAATTCTGAGGTGAGTGCGAAAACCTTGTTCTATTTAAAAGCGCATTAATGTTATAATTTTTTCTATTAAACAACAAATTAAAACATTGCATAACATAAATTTATATGTTTAAAATAAGTTAAAATTCCTTCTTGTTACAATACTTGATTTACAAAACATTTTAATTGCATAATTATAGATTAACAGTGAAAGTGTGCATAAAAAAGCTCAAGAAATTGCCAGAATGGATGCAGAAAATGATTATCAGGAATTTGTTGAGTCGTTGTGGAACACGAATTACCAACATGATCAATGAAAGTGAATCGGTATGTTACATAACTGTTTATTTTAACTGTTTTCAAATTAAGTCATTTCATATAATTATAACTTAATTGTAATAAGGTTAAAAAAATTGTAATGGAAGATAAAGTACTTGGAATTTGCTTACATAGTACTTGTTTGTGAATGATTATTTGTTTTCTTTACATTTCAGGTTATAACAGGAAATGAAACTATAACTAGCAATGTGCATTATATGCAGCCCGAAAATGGCGTTGAAAATGTCGAGGTAAGTATTGCTAAGATGTTTTGATCACTATTAAACGTTTAGATTGGGTAATTGGATTACATCCGATTTTTTAATTCTGAAAAAAAGTTCAATTGGTCACAAAATTTTGTAAATCTTATTATACTTTTAAAATTAATACCCTATTTAAAAATACAAATATTTCTGTCGTTTTAGGTAAATTATACCCTACAGACTTCTAACAGATCGAATGAAATGATACCGTCACAACAGCAGCTCCAAATGTCTCAGCCACTGCAAGATATCACAAATTCACAAATGATGCGCAATACAAGTTTACATCAAGTACGTAAATTTTATAACTTTTAAAAAAGTAGCTCTTAAAAATACAGCCTAAACACTATCAATTTCAATGGTATTTTTAAACGAAATTTATTTCTATTTTACTGCATGGTGTGTGTTAATGTATTACGAGTAATTATTCAAACACTTCATACAAATGTAAATAACTATTTATTCATGCGTACTAAGCGTTGTAAATAAGCAGCTATACTTACTTAATAATTAATTTTGTTTTAAAAAGTTAGAATACAAAAATGAGAAGATGTAGTTTGATATCCAATGAGACAACTCACCACTAAAGACCAAATGATATAGAAGTTTAGAGCTATTGGTCATAGTTCGGCCTTTAGAAATGAGCAAAACCTATACAACATTGTCAGCTATAAAATGTCTCGTAAAACCAATGTAAAACAAACCAAAGGAAAACACCAACAGCGTAGTTTGTGTACAAAATGTTATGTACGCTTAAAAATTATAGAATATTATTAAACCATTTCTTATTTGCTTTCAGTCAGAAGTTAGCCCATATTATAAAGACCTGTATGCAAGGAGATTCATACAACATACTGATTCTGGTATGCCAGGCTTTAAACGCCGTCACTTGGAAACCGAAATCTATATGTCTGAAGTAAGAAACTTATTTATTGTGACAAAATATAAATAATAATCAAGGTGAACGAATAGAGTGTAATCTATTATTTGTTGGTTACGTACTATTGAATGCTAAATCAAAGTATTATGACACTTTTAAGCAAAAAAAACATAATATTTGCATTAATAGCGAAATTTTTATATTTTAATTAGGGACTTTGTTTAATTCATAATCACTTGAACAATTTTTTTAATGATTGTTTCAATTTGTTACATTTGTTATTTTCATGCTTTGATTTAATGTTATATTTTATTGTAACTTTATTTTTACACTTTTCAGAATCGTGAAGAATGGGACAGTAGCATGTATCCGGAGGAGTTGTTCCCCAAAAAAGTATCCAAAATTACAGAAATGCAAACCTTTCATCCTGCAGTTAATGAAATTATTGACTTTAAACCAAATTCAGCTCTATCAGCGGGAACAAAGTTTTTCTTTCAGGATATTGGAAGAAAGGACTTGTTATAAACATTGAAAATGACGACAGTAAGGGGAAGGTATATACCTTAAAAGAGCTTGAAAATGGCAAAAATCATCAAGTTTCTAAATATCTAATTCGTCCAAATTTGATTTAGACAATTATTTTATGAATTCCATGTCATTTAGTTGGGTCAAATAAAGTCTACTTTTTACTTTGTAATTGAATTATTTTATAAAATATTTTTTACAATAGGTTTTATTATACAGATATCAGAAGATGTGGCATGAGTGCCAATGAGACAACTCTCCATCCAAGTCACAATTTGTAAAAGTAAAAGTAAAAGTATGTTTGTTAAAGAGATTCATATTCGCCAATAAGACAGCAACTTAAAAACTAGAGATGTATTATCATAATATGATTGCCAATGAGACGAGTCTGTGAAAGAGACGAATACTGGTCATCAAGACAGTAACGAAACGACCAGAGATTAGTATCATACTATGATTGCCAATGAGACAATCTCTATCCAAGGCTAAATGTCATTAATTCTAATTAACTATAGGTTACCGTATGGCTAACCCCGCAGATATTAATCTATAAGTTAACGCCCAAATGGTATTAAACGACAATTGAAACGGACTGATTTATATACAAAACAAAAAACAAAAACAAATGCGGTGTACTTGTCAACGAAACAACTATACACTTAAGACCAAATTTCGTTGGTGTATGCACCTAATTACATTATGACCTTCAACGTGGAGCATTAAATAAGGCTATATAGGACAACACAATAACTAGTGTAAAACAATTCAAAAGACGGCATGATTCATAAATAATACAATAAAAGAAAAACTATTATAAACACATAAAAAACAAAAACCATTGCATTAACCCCATTACCGTTTCACCATTGGATTAATGGTGTGTTATACAAACGCACTTTATCGTGTCATATACCATCGTACTGTTTCATGCAATACCATCGCACTTCAGCGTGTTATACCATCACACTTTAGCTTGTCAAATACGATCGCATTTTAGCTTGCCGGACCATCGCACTTTAGCGTGTTATACCATCGCACTTTAGCGTGTCTTATACAATCGCACTTTAGCGTGTCATACCATCGCACTTTAGCGTGTCATCTATTTGCACTAAAATTAACAAACAACCATCGTACTTTAGCGTCTAACACCATCGCACTTTAGCGTAGACCATCGCACTTTAGCGTGACAATCGCACTTTAGAGTACCATCGCACTTTAGAGTCCTACATATATAGCAAAACATAAGAAGTTAATGCTTTTATGATTTTCAAATTTTCGAAAAGAAAAAACTTATACTTTTGAGTAGTCATTTTGATAAAAAAAAAAAAATACAGATAGCTATTTAGCACCATTTTGTGTTCTTTTTCATCTTTTGAAATAAGTTAGTTGGAAATCCTTAATTTTTACCGTAAATTGTTTATTAAGCTTTGCCTCGATTTCCAAGGCCAAATAACAGGAACTTTGTATATCGGAGATCGCTGTTCAATAGCATAAGTCAGACTGCTTTAGTAATAAAGAAATTGGAAATGAGGTATAATCCATTTGACAACAGTAATATGTTTATTACGAAAATGTTAACGATAAACATTTTACTGCGTGTGACCACGTGTAGCTCAAAAATACGATCCGGTCGTATGACGAAAAATTTAAAGTAAAAAAAAGATTGATTATCAAAATGTGAATCACTGCTGTGTCGAATATACAAGGATTTCATGTTGCAGAGCAGGACTACACTCGTTTAGAACCGTATGTTAAGTTCTAGATGCCTTTTTTTTGTCTTGGGTTGCTGTCTCACTTCCGTACACCTCCGTCTCCTTTTATTCACATCGTTTTGACACGAAGTCACCATTCCAATCATTTGATAAGCCGAGTTCTCTTTTGAGCGATCGACAAGTGCAAGTGTATGTTGAACCCAGCCAAATGTGCCCAGTACACATAATAAGTATTTCATAGTTAGTCCTGCACAAAAATGAAGTAGATTAAGTGTTTTGCTCTGAATTTAGAATTCTTCAGTAAATGTCTCGCAAAACAATTTCCTAAAAACTTACCCCGTTTATTTTCAGATGGTGCTGCAAAAGCTACTCCGACAAAGAGAACTATAACCAAGTACTTCATGTTTGTGCCTGTATCAGTCCTACAGATGTGCTGGTGGTAGATTGTTCTTTACTTATATAGGACATACATAGCAGGGTGTACAGACATTGTGTACAACAGTCAATATTGCGTCACAAGGTTTATCCGGGTTTATCATCAAACGCATTAAGGTACATAGCAGTGTTTCCTTGTAACTTCAGAGGACAGTTTGCCCATTTTTATTTACATTAAATCATAAACATCGATTTTGAAAGACTACATCCCATTTGTTTGGGTTTATTCAAGATCTGTCGGCTTATAACCTTCTAACAAACAACATAATCAAGCATCATGTACAGGGTTTCATTAAAAGAAGACTGAATAGACGGTAATAATTTTAAAACGGATTCAAAAGCATGATACTATTTGGTCTTAAAAAGACGCACCAACAGTTAGTGTTTAAGTATCAAATTTTTCGTTGTATCACGAAAAAGTACATTTTTATAGCAACAGATTAATGTAGGACGAGAGTCTGACCTCTGGGGACAGTTTTGTTAGTGTAAAGCGATATAACAACTTACCTCGGCATTCAGTTAGGTCATAGATCCAAAATTGAAGTACAATGTATCTCTTTATTGTTTGATAAGAACCAATTTAGGATGCAATAACGAAAAAGTATACACTCATATATCTAGACTAAAGAACAGTAGCTGATGAGAGCTTTACAAGCTCAATATATGACAAGTTTTCTAGCTACACATTTTGCTCTTTTGTGGGGCGTAAATTATCAACAATTAATTTTGATGTTCTAGTGTATTAGACAATAATTACACAACCTAGATGTTTTTAGGGGCTTGAATTATCAACAGTTAATTATGATGTTCTAGTGTATTAGACAATAATTACACAACCTAGATGTTTTTAGGGGCGTGATTTATCAACAATTATTTATGATGTTCTAGTGTATTAGACAATAATTACACAACCTAGATGTTTTTAAGGGCGTGAATTATCAACAATTAATTATGATGTTCTAGTATCTTAGACAATAATTACACAACCTTGATGTTTTTAGGGGCGTGAATTATCAACAATTAATTATGATGTTCTAGTGTATTAGACAATAATTACACAACCTAGATGTTTTTAGGGGCGTGATTTATCAACAATTATTTATGATGTTCTAGTGTATTAGACAATAATTACACAACCTAGATGTTTTTAGGGGCGTGAATTATCAACAATTAATAATAATGTTCTAGTGTATTAGACAATTATTACACAACCTAGATGTTTCATAAGATTCCGTAATTATGATTGACGGACAACAATCCTGAGACTTTCACTAATTATGTTATTTCCCGATAAAAAGAAATTTCTATTATTGCACGTGCTCTCCGTGACAACGTCACAACCAAACGAAAAAACGTAATTTCATGACTACTAATTTGAAACATGTAAGTAGAATTGACTGTCTTTTTGTAATATTGTAGTGTTGTGAAGGCCTTGATCGTGCGCACATTTTAAGTGTGAAGCACGGAACCGCTTCATACAAAGTTTGTTTCGGTCAGTCAACTCTTTAACCAATGTGTCTAAACTACCCCGGCAAAAAATGTTTGGACTCAATAGTATCTAATATCCGTTCGATGACGGACCATCAACAGAAGGAGAAAGGTAGGATTTCTGTTTATCTATTTGTTATTTTTATGATAATGATGAATATAAATACACATATAACTATTTTCGATTGTAAGATGTAATATTTTCTACAACGTTTCTAGATTAACGGAGAAATAAGTAAAAAGGCACGTCAAAATGATGAATTAAGTGAACCTTGCCTCGAATTTGATAATTTCTCGTTAAATTGTGCACATTGTACGGAAAGGAAGATATTAACATGGAGATTGCAAGATTAGTCACTTTCAGCACCTCAGTATTTGTATTAATGTGTATGAAACGAAAGAAATGGGTAATGTCAAAATTGAAGGACCCGGTTTTGTCAATGTGTACGACCCGGTTTCGTCCTAAAATTTTACAAAGCAGGACCCGGTTTTATCATAGAAAATAATGCACAATCGTATAACGTAAATTAAAACCCGTCGTTTTACAGGAGTTTGAAGGCCAGTTTCTTTCAGAGGACAACATTTATTTGAATCCGTAAACGCTTGAATTCTTGCTTTAATGGGAAAAAACTATTTTTAATTTTGCTTTGTATAGAAACGTATCCTTTTACGGCGAGATATAAAGAAATGAAGGTTATAACGCAATTTGAAGTTTAAGCTCTCTGTATTTTCACCTCCATTTTGAAAATTGCCCCTATTCAATATGGCTGCAATAACCATGAGAGGGCCTATCTCGCTGAATAGACCTTATCGCTTTATGGGAATCTGTGACGCTTGAAATATCAATGTATTGCAACAATATATTTCCATTGTGGAGTTTGACATTTTCTCTTGTGACATAAACATTTTACTGGAACTTCTTTGATAGCGGACAAATAGTGTTACTTCGGGGTATCCAATGGGTCTTCAACACAGCGAGAAAATCCCGCACCCGGAGGCGGGCTTCAGCTGACCCCTAAACAATAATGTATAATAGTTCAGCGAATATGGACATCACGCTAAACTCCGAAACATATAAATGAATGAGGCGTGGTTAAATATGTTTTGTGAGATCTCAACTATCCCCCTATATCTCTAGCCATTGTGGAATAAACAAACAGTCAGAGTAAAATTCAGTTTAAAAGAAGTCCGAGTCCGATGTTAGAATAGGTAACAGAAGAAACTAAGCAAAATGACAATATTAAACATACATCGACAAAGGACTACTAGCAGTTACTGACATGCCAGCTCCACGCCTTAATTAAGCTGACTGAAAGATTATG